TATAGAGTTTATGTTTACGTATTTACTTCCAATCTATGTTTATATTTAATTTAATTATCAGACATACTTTCTACTCTTTCTTATTTTTCTTTTTGCGATTTGACTTTCTTCAATACAATGATATCTCTTTCTGTATTTATATCTTACTAACTGATCATCGTTAATTTTATTACTTCGTAAGTTCTGACTAAGTTTATTTGATTAATTCTGACATTTATTTTAATTAATTTATTAAATCTCTTATGAATTTTCTATTTTAGTGGGATGTTCTATTTCAAATCAGTATTGTATATTTAGTAAAATATAAGACGACTTTTGAATATTACAATTAGCAACAATAGATTAACGATGTTTTGATATTTTTAATTTATTATACATCATATAGATGTTGTAAAAACGTTAGCTAAACTTGTAAGTAAACGTTTTAAAATGGTTTTTTACCAGTAAAAAAACATTTTATAATAGTTTTTATACTGATTTCATAAATGTTTAATTGATTATTATTTCTAATATTTCTTACACGGACACTTATAACATATTAAAAACATTTACTTGTAACTGTCATTTTTTCAACAGTTTTCAAATTTTTACATACATTTTTGTTCTACTTAGGTCGCTTTGTCTATTCAAATTTTTTGCTGTCTACTTTTTTATATGTATCATTTCAAACTGTTCTTTTCACATATGAGGACTCGTTATCTAATATGTGGACATTATCCCAATCGAATTCATGTCGTTCTACGTTCTGATATAACGGGGAGCCACTTTATTTATATCTTTTATATGTTCTTTAATTCTTGTTCCCAATTGTCTTTTTGTCTATTCTACGTATATCGATTTACAGTCAATTTTATAAACTACATTACATCTAGACATTTTATTTAATATCTTTTCCCGATTTTATAATGTTATTCAATTTTCTGGGGATAGTAAATGATGTACGATAGTTCATTTTATTAACAATAATTAACAAATTTATTCGATATTTATTTAACATAAGGTATAGTAAGGAATTATAGTAATATATATCATTTGTTTTATTGATGTTATTATTCTTGATGTTATTATTGATGTTACTATTGATGTTATTATTAATGTTATTATTCTTGTTAATATGATATTTAATTCTATTAATTGTCCTAAATATAAAACTTAAAATGAATAACAATTTAATAGTAAAGTATTAATTATTTATCTGATGTTTTTGGAATGAAATTTTGGGTATACTATTATCATTATTTTTTTATCTATCATTCCTATGATGATGCTTTTTTTGTGCTATTGAGTGATGTGAATAGAAATTTAAATATCTGTCGGACGCCGTGTTTTTTTTAAAAGTAATAATATAACATGTTCTTCATCCCTAATTAATTTAATGTCTTAATTGTTTGTCATGTTCTATCTCCACTGTAAACTGTAACTGTTCATGTTAAATTAAAAGTCATTGATGTTTTATCTACTTTAAAAACAGTTATTAAAATTTCGTTCACATAAAAAAACGTATCCCAAATGATAATTTACTTAAGGCTAGTATATCTGCATAACAATATCAGATATTATGGGAGATTTCATAGGCACATCTATACTCACATAAATTTGTTTAATATACATTAAAAATGAAATAAGTCGAGTGTAATATCAAATTTATACCTATTTTAAATTCGTCCAATAGTATTTTTGTATTAATATGATGCCATCTATTTTCAATACTTCTTATAGCTAGTTCTATTGGCACATTGATGAACAATGTTCCAATGAAATGAGAAATGTTCTTTATTAATATTCAAATTATTTAATTTATCTATTAGATGTTTACTATTTTTTATAAAACTTTGTGCCTTTGGGATACTATAATTCTGTTTAAATAACATGCAAATCTAGATAGTGGGCTATTAATAATCGCAATTATAATTCTCGATGCCATGCCTTGCTTATGTATCTTAAGGATACCATATGTTCTAGGTAAAATATCATTAGTTGTCAATATATTATTATTATATATATCATTTGATCAATGTAACCTTTTACCTGTTTTTTATCTACTAATAATCGATTTTAAATCTCTCGTTAATTTATTAACTGAATTTTTTAAATATTATTTCATATGTGTTAACATCGTTAAGCTAGATGTTTACATCTTTTCATCATAATATCTAACCAGAATTCCCTTTCTCTGCTCTCGTGATTAATATGTCAGAATGTTATCTAGCAAATTTTTTTATATGTGTTAAACATTTCGAAATAAATTTTTTATTTTCATCTAAAGAGCAATGACTGTGGTATAACTCATGTATGATTAGTGACTCATTCCTTATGGCGTTTTTCATTCCTATCGTTAGTTTACAAATATTTCTTTCTACATGTTTAATGAATTCTATAATCATTTTTTTTTCTTTTTAAATATAGATATAGATAAGATAAATTTATCACTTAATTGATGCACTTAAATGAAATATAACAGAATTTGCATTTCAGATGGAATGTTCATACCACTCATATTGATGAACATTTTTCATTAATCGTATTTACTTTAGATTCAACATTCCAATCCATATAGCACAACAAAATTTGCAGCATATCGCTATAAAATCTGTAATATTGCAGCAATAAATGATGTTGATGCAATGTTGCAGCAGTGTTGCTGCAACCTTTGTGCAACTTCGTGCTGTAGAGAAATGCGTCAATTTTAAAGTCGTACGATGCTTACGATTCTTGCGACGATACGAGATACAGCCAATATAGATTAGGCTTTAATTAACTATAGGATAGAGAGGTTCTCAGATTTATCTACAGCCAATCAACGGGCTTGAAATGCCTTGACGACACAATATCAGGCTCAGCACAAAGATATATATGATCGCAGCACAGACTTTTCATAACGCATAACGCATAGTGCATAATAAAATCAAAGTTCTTCTTTTTCATGAAATGGAAGAAAAGGAAAGATTCTGATTGAATCTCTTCTTGGTTGATTCTCTTATATGCACGTTATGCAAAAGTCTGTGCAACCAATAGTCGTAACTGAGTCATGAAACATGAGTCGTAATCGTAGATCAACAATCTATAATTACGACTTAGGCGAAGTCTACAATGGAAGTCGAAAAAAATAAAGGGTCTTCTACACAAAACGTAATTGAGTCGTAGAAAGTAATACGATCTACAATAGAAGTCGTAGCGATCGTAGAGTCTTAAGTCATAGAACATTCATCAATCATAATCGATTAAGGGTCCTCTACATAGAAGTCGTAGACGGAAATTGATCAATTCTAATCGAGTATTCTCCTTATATTTGATTATGATATTGGTTCGACTTAAGACTCCAGGACCGTCTATGACTTCTTCCCTTAATCAATTATGATTGATGAATGTTCTATGACTTAAGACTCTATGATCGCTACGACTTCTATTGTAGATTTCGTATTACATTCCATGACTCAATTACGTTTTGTGCTTAAGTCCTACGTTCTATTCTACATTGATCATAAGTTGCAGGTTATATCAAAGCTTATTGTATCAACCAAAACGTTAATTTTAAAATCGCACGACGCTTACAATGCGATGTTACGATCTTTTTTCATAGCTTTCATGATGAATTCATCATCGCTATTTATTAATAAAAAATTCTTATTGGTTAATTAAGTTAAATAATTGTGATCAATGATAAAGTAACTGATTAATTATAAGCATAATGTCTGATATCAATAAAAATGAAAGTTATTTGCTTACAAAATTATAGTAGTTCATTCTCAGTAAAAACTGTTAATTATTACATGTTTTAATAATTTTATATTTGAGTTTATTTATTCACAAAGAATAAATATTGTCAGTAAAATTGAACATTATTATAAATCGCGTTTCATTTAGAGTAGAAGTAGCAATGTAAATATTTCAAACACAGTATGTAATATCTTCTCAAAATGCACATATTCTTTTAATTTTATATATAATATAAATATTTTATATGTATTTTTCTAATAATATCTGTATTTTAAATTTTAGGGGAAATTAATCTCCTAACATTAGAAAATAAAATAGATTTGGAAAATTCTATTTGTGTAACTCCAACTGGGTACTTAATACTCTCTTTATTGACGGATGATTATCAAGCTCTTGGTTTAGAAGGGAAACCCTCTACCTTCAGTCATAAATTTCATACACGATATGGTAAGTTTCAATAATAATGCAATAGAATAATAAAATTATATATTATATTATGTATAGGGTGCGTCATCAAAATCGAACAATTTTTTTTAAACAAAATGTTTTTAATGAAAAATTAAATATTACTAAAAATTCTTTTACATGACACTTGGGGAATCTCTGTAGAGCATAATTATTCGATATCTCCCCCATTAGCTTGAATGACGGCCTCTATTCTCAATCTAAAGCGTTCGCACGCACGCTGAAATGTAACGTCCATGCCGACGAATGCTGCCTCAATAGCGGTCCTTAATGACGTCATATTGGGATGCCGAGACTTGTTGTTTGTAACTCTTTCTACACTCCATACGTAGTAGTTCAAGGGATTTAAATCTGGGCTGTTAGGAGGCCAGAATGGGAGCCGAGACGAGCAACTCGAGTGCCTGGCAGCCTCAGAGAACATCTGTTGTATCTTTAATGTGTACGATTTTTATCGAAGGTCCTCCTCGATAATTCGACACATTGTTGGCTCGCTTACACCAATAATCGATGCTAATTTTCGTTATGATTGGGTCCATCCAAAATCAGCGCTTGAACTCTTTCAATGACTGCGGGGGTCCTCGCAGTGCGTTCTTTCGAGTGACTCTTCTTCGCTGGCATATTGGAACCTTCGTTGGATTGTTCTAAAGCCGTATATTTTGCCACATGTCATAAACGATCTCGGATATCCAAAGAATCGAATTATTTCCGTTGCTGAGCGCTTAGCGCGAAGGCCTGCGATGATCGCGGCTTTTCGATTACACTCCGTACTTGATTTCAACATCGCAGCCATTTTGAGAATATGTTTACTAGAAGTATCATGCTTTTTCGTACGCCAATAATCTCTGGCGGAGACACAATATAACGGAAAATTTAAATTGAAATTTGTTCGAATTTTGGTGACGCATCCTGTATACATTGTATATGTAATATACATCGTGTAAACAATTTTTTGCCGTAAAGTAATTTTTTAAATATCAACATTTAAAGTTTCTTCGATCAATGAGTAAATAATAAGATATAGAAATTGATTAATTAATACATTCATTTTATACTGAGTATTTTAAACCATCTGTTCACCCCATTTAAAAACGAAGTGGTTATTTTGAAAAATTTCAAGACAAAAGTTGTTGGGGATCAAGTAATGCATTACATGGGTATATGCGATTGACTTTGGATATTGTTATAAAGGTCATATTGAGGTCGATTTGAATTTTTTAAATAGGAACTGATATCTTTTATTGCATATTCTTGTAGCTGATATCAAGACATTTTTTAAACATTTATTACAAATCTCTTTTAGTTGAGATTTCAAAATTTCAGTCTCGCTTTAGCATTACCCAAAATGTACCGTGTGGAAGGCACATGATCGGATTCTTAATCAAGCACCCCGAAAAGGTGTAAATCTGATCGTGCGATCTCCACGCAGTATATCTTGAGTAATGCTAACGCACAGTGATCTGGCGCGTGACTTTAGGCAATTCAATCAATTTTGACTCCGAGATGGGAATCTCTATAGGAAATAGAAATCTCGAAATTGATGTCACGATTAATTAGTCTAAACAATAATATCATAAAAATATAGCTCATATTAATTTATTTCGTTTAAAGTCACGCGCCAGATCACTGTGCGTTAAAACATAGCTCATATTAATTTATTCTACTTAAAGTTATGTTCGAAAGTCATCACTCTCACAAGGGACCATCTCGATTTGTACAACAAACTAGTAAAAATTCTTGATATCAGTAAAAATTGACAATATAAATTAAGGAAAAAGACAAGAACATAGATCGTAAGTTCAAAGAAATTTAGTATTATAGTGCATGATAAAAGTTCTAGAACGACTAATATTTCAAAAAATATTGATTTATTTAAAAAATGTTTGAAACAAAAGTAATAGAGTTTTAAAAACATTATCACATGATAATATTAATTTGACCTTGGAATGACCTTGAAAAGTGCTTCCAAAGTTAACATAAAAATTTTAAACGGAATTCCTTATTTTTATAGCATATTTTTATAGCTGACGTTGAGATGTTTCTAGAACACTAGTTACAAATCTTTTCTTCTAAGAACAGAGCTCAGAATACTCGAGTACCCGCCCGCTTGCTCTGTTACCCGAATACACGGATCTGGACCGGTTCCGCGAATACCCGCTAATTCGGATACCCGAGGAACCATGATACGGGTATCCGTGGAATCGTATATAATACGGATTCCCGCCTCAATACGGGTATCTGCTATATGTTACAGATCATATTTGTGTTTGTAACTTTAATTTTAAAAATTTGTATTTTAAAATCATTTATAGTGATTCTCATTTTGTTTGTAGTTTAAATTATATTGTATTAGGTGTACAACTTTGCTTCCGCCGTTTTCCTATAAATGGCTTTAGCGGTAAGTGGTAGTCGAAATAAATAGATCATACACGTCATACAATAAACTTAGGCATCTATAAACATAACCCCATAGAAACATTAGTCAATTTATGTCTGCATCATAAAGTTATTCTCGATTGGAAATGTCAGTTTACGAGCCAAATTCTCGTCTTTTGCGAGAGGTTTTAATTTTTTGCTTCAATATGAAGAAATCTGCGGCTGAGGCTCATCGAATGCTCTCAAATACTTATGGTGAGGCCGCTATTAATGAAAGAACGTGTCGTGAGTGGTTTCAACGCTTCAAGAACGGTGATTTTGACGTCCAAAGTCATGCTCTGTATTTGGTGGGACCAGCTCGGCGTAGTGTATTATGAACTGTTAAAACCGACTGAAACAATCACAGGCGATCGGTATCGAACGCAATTGATGCGTTTGAGCCGAGCATTGAAAGACAAACGGCCGCAATACAACGAGAAACACGATAAAGTGATTTTGCATGACAATGCTCGACCCCATGTTGCGAAAGTGGTCAAGACATACTTGGAAACGTTGAAATGGGAAATCCTATCCCACTCGCCGTATTCTTCAGACGTTGCTCCCTCTGACTATCACTTGTTTCGATCAATGGCACACGGCCTGGCTGACTAGCACTTCCGGTCTTATGAAGAAATAAAAAATTGGATTCGTGGATAGCCTCAAAAGATGACCAGTTTTTTCGACGCGGGATTCGCTACCCGAAAGATGGGAGAAAGTAGTGGCCAGCAGCGATGGACAATACTTTGAATCATAAATGTATAACTAATTTTTTACAATAAAGCCTCGAATTTCGGAAAAAAAACGGCGGAAGTAAAGTTGTTACACCTATATAATAACTTTTAAAATATTTGATTACAAACGAAAGGAAAATCTCTACAAACGATTTTAAATCAAGATATGTTAATCCAGAGATACGGTAATAGCTCGGCGCTAAGGAAACACGTAGCGTTTTAGCACGAGATACTGCCGGGTATCTTTACACGGAGCGATTTTCTGAGATCTCGATTATTATATCTTAATAATGATTGTGCTGATCAAATTTTATGCATAGTCAATCGATAACTTGTACCCGAATTGTGTAATGAAAGTGCATTTATTTTTTTCTATTTGTCCTACGAGTGGAGATATTACAAGTTTCAAATTTTGAAAAACGTTTTTGTCAATGTCTGCCTGACCCATATTACACCTCGAACTTCAGTCGACAAATGGCAATCTCAAGCTTTTTATTTTACTCTTTAACGAACAATGATCGATTGCTAAAATTATTGATAGTCACTCAAAGTCACGACCTACAATCTTCCGAAAGTTGTTCGGTGTGATGCCTTTCATAATGTGGGAGAGATCAGTGAAGGTGAATTGTTCATTTTAATTTTAATATCTTCTTAATAGACAACGGTCGACTACTGAGTGTCCGATGATCACTCAGAATCATGATCTTGACAATATGAGTTATTGCAAAATGGTAGAAGACTTTTCGACTCAATTTAATCCGCTCTATCTATACAAAATTGGTCAAAACTTATAGGACATCTTGTATAATATTATTGTATATAAATCAAAGAAAAGAAATGCGCAGGGCACTAATGACCTAAATGTATTAAAGGTTATTATGAATAGTTTAATAAATTTTTTAGGTATATAACAAATACATACAATTAAAAAGGATTAAATATGGAAGGCAAAGATATTTATTTTAATAATTTTATAGTCTTCCGAAAACTTGTGACGCGCCAGTGGTATTTTGCGCGTGAAGCGGAAACACGAACAAACGCTACAAAAATCACTGGATGGATGCAACGAAACAAAATGGATTTCAAATTTCAAAGTACAATATCTGATATTTTGAATTTTGTTATTAAAATGTATTAATTTTTAGTAATATTACTTTATATATTATCAAAATTGACTTAAATCTTAATTATTTAAATATTAAAAAATTATTCAAAATCATAAATATAATATGTATTCGCAAATAATCTTAACATATGATGATCTTAAATTAATACGTTAAAATATGTCAATGTTCTTATTATAACTATTGTAGGATTAAAAATTACTGTACAAAACTAATGTCCGCGCGCGCCGTGCGTCACGAATTTTAATTTTATTTTGATACACTTCTCATACATTATTACACTATTTCTCTGTTTATGTTTTTTTTTTATTATATTTTTTTCGATTTTATTCTTAATTCGATTATTTGAAATAAGATTATTAATTTAAATTAGATTTTAATTAATATAAAAAAATTGAGATTTTTTTCGTCTAAATTTACGCGTCAGACCACTGCGCCAGCGCGTGGTATTGAAATTTTGAAGTTTCATACTCATCTCTCAAAGATCTCAATTAAAAAAGATTTGTAAACAACTTAACGTTAGCTACAAGAATATACAATGAAAGACATAGGTTCTCATTTAAAAAATTCAAATTGATTTCGACAGGACGCCACTCAAGATCGCATATACCCATGTAATGCATTACTTGATTCCTAACAACTTTGTCTGAAACATTTTTCAAAATAATCACTTTCCTCGTTTTTAAATGGGATATACAGGTCTGAAATACCCGGTATATACCTATACACGCGCGTGCGAATATACAACACATGCGTGCACGTATACGTCCATATAAAATAGTATTTCAATCGTGCATTCGTGCGCATATAATAGGGAAAATGGGGGAATTGTATGCTGCATTTAAGGGGGTTTCCTACATTAGAAGTTCAAAAGAATTCGTTTTTTTTTTTTTTTTTCGTAAATCGATAGTAAAACTTTTTATATCCCTAAAATTTTAGAAGGAAATTTGAAATCCTTCGGTATAAATTCAACGCTTATATCGTGGTTTTAAATCGAACATCTTGAATATTTCATTTATTTTTTATACAAAAAAAATGTTTCAAACGAAAGTGGAACAATTTCGTATTGTGGCTGTGTTGTTTTTTCTAGGTGAAGGCGTCAAAAAAAGACGGGTATAAAGGTCACCTTCACTTTTTTAAATGGAATTGTATGATTTTTTTTACACAATGATTCCTCTAATTATTCTGCATATAAAAGTATTAAGGTAGTAATATCAAAAAATCAATAGTTTACAAAATATTTTACACTTTATTCTGGCACATATTGACATAAAATGTTAAATAATTCGTAAAGTATTAACATTTTTAATAATCTTACTTTAATACTTTTATGAACAGAATAATAAGATAAATCAGTTAGTGTAAAGAAAATACATCGTTGTTTTAAAAAATGTATGTATAATATATATATGAATAATTTTTTAAATAAGCAACTATGTATTTTCTTTCAACCAACTGATTTATCTCATTATTCTGTTCGTGAAAATATTAAAATACGATTATCAAAAAATTAATAATTTACGAATTATTTAATATTTTATGTCAATATGCGCCAGAATGATATGTAAATTATCTCATCAACTATTAGTTTTTTGATATTACTATCTTAATACTTTTATATGCAAAATAATAGAGGAATCATATTGTGTAAAAAAAATCGTATAATTCCATTTAAAAAAGTGGAGGTAACCTTCATATCTTTTTGACGCCTCCACCTAAAAAAAAACCAACATGACGAAAATAACCTCTTGAAACTTTCATTTGAAATATTTTTTATATTATCAAAAATAAGCAAGATATTTCAGATGGTCGATTTAAGTGTACCTCTGTATACGAGTGCATGGCGCGCAGGTATAACAAAAATTTTTTAAAAATGTTTATTATAGTTCTAAAATACTCTTAAAGCCATTCAATTTTCATTTTGAAAATTTTTTTATATTTTATAATTTCGATGATATTCGCTTCGGAAGAAAAAAAAACGATTTTTCTCGAGGGGATGTTTTATCCCTTACCCTTTACCTCGAGATAAGCACAAACAAAAAAATATAGGTCTAATATGTTCTCTATAATATATCCTGTTTTTTCTGCTGAACGCAACGGCTGCATTCAGAACGATATTCGCTCACTAAGCGTTCGGTGAACGGTTTTTCATCAGATTGGCATTCCATTAAATCTAAAAATATAGACCAACCAGATACAAGAGCTTACTGAGCGCTCAGTGGACGGTTATTGTTCTGAATGCATCCAATGTTATAATTATTTCGCACTCTACAATGTAACTCCCAAGAAATACACAAAAGTCAATACAAATTCAAAGTGATATCAAATGACTTTATTTTTATTTGCTTAAAGTCAATAAATGGTCAAATTTTGTAACAAAAATCATCATTTTGATATTTCATATTAATAAAAAAATGAATAAATATGTTATTATATCAATGTTAATACAAAAATTTTGAAAAAATTATACAGAAAAAATTAGGAAAATTAATTATACAATCAACAAAAACCGCATAACGTACATTAAAGTACATTCTTTTGACTTTCTCTCGACTTGATGTGTTCCTGGACTATTATATAACTTGGGACATTATATTACATTTATATTTTATTTATATTACATTTATTTTTGGAATACGAAATTACAACATTGATGTCATGCTACTTTTAATTTGTCGACTGAACCGAGTTCCATATCTTCCGTATTCTTCGCAAATAATGTACTTTTCATTGAGAGGAAACTTTGAATTGTATATGCGCACAATTTTTCGTCTTGAATTGATTTAATGAGAAAAATGATTATTCCAAAACTTTTTAACTTAATTTTTAAATAATTAATAATGAATAATAGCTCAATAGATGCACATATGACATATTTTAGTAGATATATATAATATATATA